TGTATATATGTGATATATATATATATATATATATATATATATATATAATACAGTTTATGTACTTATTTTAATATATAAAATTAGAGAAAATAATGATATTATTTGCTAATTATATAAGACCAAACACAAATCTTTTAATGGAAATACATTATAGAAAATGCAGTTACATGACGCGTGAGATGACAAAATATAATAGATATATTACAATTAAAAACACTACCTTGTTATAATAGTGTTATATGATAGTTATCAATATATCAATTATAAATGACAAAATAAATAAGTGTAATATTATCCATTTATAATAGTGCTTTATAATTAACATGTACAACTAGGGATGCACCGAAATGAAAATTCTTGGCCGAAACCGAACAAAATGAAAAACTGGGCCGAAGACCGAATACTGAACACGCTTTTTCGAGTTTTTTTCCCCCCATGTATTTTGCCAATTTTTTTCACCATTGCACCAATTAAATAGCCAAAATGTGCTTTTTACTGTTTTGTCTTGCTTTTCAAAGAAAAAATCAATTACAAAACAACAATATAAAAATATTTAACACTGAACATTTTTTTTTTACAGTCTAGCAGACATTATACCAACAAGCACAATTTAACTTAAAATGAAGTTAGTAAAATAATTTTTTTACTAAGGCATGTATTTTTTACTATACAAATAAAAGCAAATATCATCGCTTCATGCTCTTCACCAAGCATTTACACAGATACACACGGGAGTGTTTTAAAGCCGCATCTATCAGCGGATCACTAATATATCTGCTGATAGACGAATCCGCTGATATACGCGGCTTTCAAAGACTCCCATGTGTAAGCATAATATGTGAAGAGTGTGAAGTGATGATCATTGTAGCCAATCACAGACATATCTGTCGAGCGTGCGCACACAATGGCCAATCAGCTGTGTTTAAGAATCTTTTCAACAGCGCTCAGAATTCCCGCCCGAAATGCTGGTATGGTCACACTTTTTTTTGGGCTTAAGTGCCCTCAAATTTAGGGACGGGCTTTACGATTGTGTGCTGTACAAGTAGTGCTGGGTGGTATGACCAAAAATTTATATCACTGTATTTTTCAAAACTATACCCAAGGCTCGAAATTGTGACCATTTTGGTCGCATATGCTCCGGAAATGTAATCTGTGCGACCTCAAAATATGTTTGGGAGCATGTGTGCGAGTGCATATAATTGTTGTCGTGCGATCTGTTTTAATTTCTCTAAAAACGTTCAGAGTATGTGCCTTCTGAGTGTTGATACGGTGACCTGTCTGCCGTTCTATGAAACGTTAGGCTACATAACCAATTAAACTTCATCTTTACATTCTTAACTTTAATGCAGATTTTAGATTGGTTAATATTAGCTGTCAATCACCCAGTCGCTGCTTTCCGCTGTCAGGTGACAGGGAGCTAACTACCGCGGGGAATGAAAAAGGCTGAAGAA